AAAAAAAATCAATGTGGTTAAAAACGGCTGTATATTGGTTTTAGTTACTCTCTAACACCCCCCCCTTGCAGGAAAGGGTGAAAAGAGAGAGACAAAGCCAGCCCTCCCCCCTTCTCCAAAAGTATCACAGAACTTTAGAATCCTGAAAGGGACCCAGCGAGGTCATCCATCCCACCCCTTCCCTCTCTGCACACCAATCCAGATTAAAACATCTCCGGTAGTTCGATGTTTTAATCTCCAGGTGTCCAAATAAACACAGGTCACGCTGTCCAACGTATTACAGGTAGTCCTCAAACTTACGACCGGAATCGAGCCCAAAGTTTTACGTTGCTAAATGAGAACTTTGCGAAGTGGGTTTCGCCCCATTTTTACGACTTTTCTTGCCCCGGTTCTTAAGCGAATCGCCGCAGAGTTTAAATTAGTAACCCGGTTGTTAAGTGAATCTGGCTTCCATTGACTTTGCTTGTCAGAAGGTCGCCAAAGGGGAAATCCCTCGACCGTCGTAAGTGTGAGTCAGCTGTCGAGCCTTCGAATGTAAATCACCTGACCCCGGGGATGCTGCAGCGGTCGTAAAGGGTGAAAATTTGGTCTGAAGTTGCTTTTTTTCAATGCCATTGTAACTCAGAACAGTCACTAAGTGAGGACAACCTATATTGTTAGGAAGTATTTTTAACCACCAACTTTCTAACGTTCCCTTGCACCGTTTCCCGAGGCTGACTTTTGCTTTATTTTTATTTTTTTTATTAAAAAAAAAAAGAGGGAAATTTGTCTTCAACTAAAGATGTTGGAACAGTTTTGGGAGGCAAAATTGTGGAAGTGGTTGTGGAGCCTTTTTTTCCCGAAGCTGCTTCCTTTTTTTTTCTGGTTTTTTGTTTTTTTTTAAATCGGCTCTTTTTAAACTTTTTCAAAATCGCCCAAAGTCTGTTCGGTGTCTGGCAGAACTGGCCAAAAAAAAAAAGAAAAAAAAAAGGATTTAAAAAAAAGCAACGACCAGCAATATTAGGCTAAATCTGCCACTCCCCCTGGTTTTTTTTTTCTCTTTACAGGTAGTCCTCGAACTTACGACCGTTCGCTTACTGACTGTTCAACATTACAACGGCACTGTAAAAAGGGACTTAGGACCGTTTTTCACACATACGACCGTTGCGGCGTCCCCCGCCCACGTGATTAATAAATCAGACGCTTGT